TTCTTCTTCTTCTTCTTCTTGTTCTTGTTGTTCTTGCTGTTGTTGTTCTTGTTGTTGTTCTTGTTGTTGTTCTTGTTGTTGTTCTTGTTGTTGTTGTTGTTCTTGTTGTTGTTCTTGTTGTTGTTGTTGTTGTTGTTGCTCATTGTAAGAAAATACAGCAAAAAACTGTTTTTTTTCAAAATACTCAGTCAATTGATCCGCGACTTCCGGATCCCCTTCCCCTTAATAATCAATGGAATGCAGCACTTGTTTGCTTTGTAGGAAGGAATCAATGGCTTTTGTTTTGCTGTTACACTGCAGCTTCTTTAGTTGCAATTTTTCGTCGATTCTTCGATGATTTTGTTGCTTGTTGTTATTACAGCAGCTATTTTCTTCTAAACCACTCGGTTGATCAATCCGAGACTTCCGGATCCCCCTGTCCTTGTTATAATAAAGAGATCCTGTATATCAATCACGCTGTTAGTGGTGGTTAAAGTGTTGAACTAAAGAGGTGACAGGTCCCTATGCTGGAGGTTCTTCTTGTTGTGGTGGTGGTGGTGTTAGTAATGAGTTTTTTTCGCATTTTTCGTGTGCAGAGAAATCGACAAGCCCGAAAAGGTTTTCTGGCAAGAAACATATACAATGTGCACATGTATCAAATGACAAGAGAAAACCCTTTCCAGCCAACGGACTCTCTAATTCTGATTGGTGCTTTGCTAGCAATAAGAAGCAAGCAAAGCTTTAGCTGATTTCTAAAAACCGCTCCCAAAAGTTTGACTCATAACCTAATCCCGTTCGATGGACTGCTTCACGTGTTTCAAAACAAAATGTATGTCAGTCTGTTCGACGTACGGTACGCTGCACGTACATTACGTTGTCGGAGACGACAACTAAGATTAGAGAAACTTCGATGACATCGTACCGGTAGTGAACGAGTTGGGTCAATGTTTTCACGCAAAATGGAATTTCTCTTTTTCGTTATTTTCGAACTTGATTTCCTTGCGTCCTACCACCACAACCGACAACTACTAAAACGCGTTTCTGTTTTACGGTTGCACTAAAGAGAAACATGTCTTCCTGGGAAAGAGCGCGTTTCATACCTTGGTCGAAAATCCCGCAGGATCCTACAAATCTTTCGGACCAGAAAGAGAGGATAATCCGAGATCTTCAACGAGAGGCGGACCGGCACGAAAAAGCCCAGTTATTGGAACAGCGTCGTCTCAAATCATCGCCACAGGATGCCCCTGCGTCTTCTTCTGCGGGAGATTTGTCTTCAACAACATCGACACCAGCATCGACATCATCAATCTCCCAGGCAAGTATTCCTTTCAAATGGGGAGAGCTTTTCAAGAATGCAGCTTTTGGGGGATGCATTGGATCCATAACCGGATGTGTCTTTGGCTTCATGGATGGGATGCGAATGGCGGGCCAGAGTGACGTACTGAAAAATTCATCAAACGCAGCGAAGGGAAAATTCTTGATGGAAGGAACTACACGGTCTGCCACGATATTCGGTGCATTCTTTGGTGGATTTCATTGTATTAAGTACGGAATACGGGTAGCACTCGACCCAGGCGACTTTCAGGAAGTGGGACTCGCGACCGCACTTTCGATGGGAGGTCTTATGTCGAAGCCTAGTTTTCGTCCCGCCGTGCCTTATGCTACTATGCTGATTATGATGGACTCGTTTCATTTGGTAATGCGTGAATACAGAAAAGATTAAGAATGCGCCGGTCTCACGGTGCTTGTGTTATAATAGTACAATGCAGTTGTTTAATTTACAAAAACCCATTGATCATTAGAGAATGCAAGTTTGATGCATTCGCATCGAATCAACTACCTAGCGATTTGCTCTGTGAAAGTTACTTTTGTAACCAGATCAAGATTCCATATTCAGTTTTGGAATTGACACGATTCTTTTTTGGAACAGAACGCGCCGGTGAAGCACAGTATCGGTAAGCATCATACAATTCCTGTTCCAATGAACATTGTGTAATACTTGTGACGATCCATTCATTACATAACTCCTAGCGATTGCGCGTACAGATGAAATTCGAAGCGCATGAGGATTTATTGTCGTTGGATATGTTCATGAAATGTATCAAGCCAACCATCCTCCCAGAATAAATTCAGTCAATCTATCTATCCATTTCCGGCCGCCGAGACACGAGGAATATCATTCAGTTCCGTCATGTTTCCGAGTTTTTCGTTCAAAGCTTCAACTCGTTCGCGATGGCTCTGTGCCGCAATTTTTTTGTTCTCTTCTTGCTGACGCTCCTTTTTGAATTTCAGGGCCTTCTTTTCTGCATCGGTCAATTCATCTTCGTCATCAGATAATAGAACGTCATCGCGGTTATGGTGAGGAATTTCTGTTTCCCTCGAAATCTTAGCCGTGGCCTCCTCGTCTTTCAGTTTGTGCTTGACCTTGGATTTTTTAGATTTCTTTTTCGACTTTTTCTTGTCGCCTTTAAACGACAAAGCTCCACCGAGAAACGAAAACTTCGTCATGATCGTTGTAACAATCGTGTGTTGGAGACCTTCTTGCTCTTATCGGGGGTTGTATGGGACGAGAAATCTGGAGACCGTGTAGCCTCAATCAGAAATCATTTCTTCGTACTACGCGTTTCATACGGTACCAATTGAGTATGGGCTCGCCAGAGCGCAAAAAGTAATACTACGCGTTTCGTAACAATTGAATACGGTCGCAAAAGAGAGCAAAAAGTAATAATTTCAAGTTCTTAACTTCGATTTGAAGTTATCAACTTCAAAATGACCTGGTAG